AAGTTGAGAAAAACAGAAACTCTTAGTTACAGAGGTGGACACACACACGCACACATTTTACGCATTCAAATTTTACCATGAACAATGGAGGAACATTCCACTTTGCAAGCCCTTGGTGGAACCACTTCAATCATGCAACCTTTGCGTGGAGGTCGACCAATACAATTCCAAGTGCCACTTCTCTGGCTGATTCGAAGCAGTAGAAGTACTAGCGGTACTAGCATTGACATCTTCTCAAGTGAGGCATAAACGATTCAGGAACGATGTGTGCGATCCTACATCAAATCATCACACCCAGTCATCATTATACCTGAGCCTAAACTTTCGCCTAAACCCAATAAACTTGGACTGCTTCAATCACTTCTTATCAGTCTTCCAATCACGAAACCAGACCAAGATGCCCAGAAATGTGGTACATCCCGCCACAATCATCTCCAGATAACAGGCTCCAGGGACCACCACCTAGAGACCAATGCTCCAGGTTCACGGTCGGTGGACCCTGGAGTGACTCACTGTTTGACTCGGTCCTTCGGAATCCTTCGGAGTCCTCCTCAGCAGTTGACCCCCAAAACTTCTTGTCTTTCACCCAAAAAGCTTCTAGGCCTACATCTTTTTGACAAAAGTGATACAAACAAACACGCAGCGAATCAAACGGATATTTCTGGATGCTCCAATACCTCTCCCAAAGGGTCACTGGTCTTCTCTTCCAAGTCAAAAGCTTGGGATGACTTCAACTCCATCTACACACACACACCTTTTGCTGCCTCCATCTCTCGGGATGTGGTCCACATCTAACTTTCAATCCGGCCTCTCCATGGACAATGTGATGGGACAGCAGCGCCAAGACGTGACCACCGAACTGGCGCCCGAACACCGTGGCGCCATCCGCGCGCACCGTGCGGCGCCGCAGCAAGGGGTGGCTGGCTTCGCGCCAAGGATAGGCCTCGAGGGGTTGCTGCTTTAGAGAGGGACCTACCCAAGCACCCTAAACCGTGTTTAGAGCTGCTAATGCATGGCTGCATGACGTTGATTTGTATGATCAAGTGCTTCTCAAATATTTTTCTTTGTTGAGGTTGTGCAAAATTCTGTTTGTTGAGGCTTCGATCCATTTTAGCATGAACATGGTCAAGGTTGCGACAGCATGTGGTCAGCATGTCAGTTGCCAAATTGAATGGCTTGGGGATCCTGCGCGCACCAAAGGACCCTTTGTGTGCCCCCTTCCAAGATTTAGGGAGGTTGAACTTCTTTCTTGGAATCTCCAGTGTCTGCAGCAAATTGGCTTGTCATGGTTTGTCTAACAAGGGGAGACTTCCCAAGCAGCCCAAGCGACAAGGGTTCCACTTCTCCCACCGACTCTTGAAAGTAACACTTGGAGTCAAGCAAATATGTGCCCAATTGGAGTAGCGTTCACGTCTCTTGGATAAACTAGATCGTTGAGACTAGTAAACATGGGTCGTACTTTTTTGAATACGATAAACTATAATCCAGAAGTGCATAATCCAGAAGTGCAAATACGATAAACTTGGATGAGGACAGAAGTTAAGCTTTTGCCGGAGGGCATTCCAACATAGCCGGCCGAAACACCTGGAAACCTCTAGACTTTAGTTGATGGGCAAACGAAGGGACGTGGAAGAACTCCAAAAATGCCTTGGTATGACTTGATCGACAAGTAGTCTCAGGAACACCATCATGGTCAAGATGCAAAACCACCAACTCGCTACGTGGAGTCGAGAACTCCAAACGTCCTCACCTTACCTTCCCAATACACTGTGTGAAAACTCGCCTGGCGCTCCAACAGTGGTGCCGCTGCTGGCCGCTCGGCAGCATCTGCAGATGCACCCGATGTGCTGGAGGCGCCACATGCTTCAGCGGCCTGTGCTGGAGGCAGATTCTTAAATATGTCATACACAGAAGACCAGTTGTGAAACAAACTCATTGATTTGTAGATCTATATTCCCCCAACACATCAAACCATCATGTGCAACTTTGGAGAACACCTATCCTCCACAAAGTCATGAAGAGGAGTTCCCGTGTCTGCTCCATCTGAGCCACTTCCCCGCTGGAAAACTCAGAGAAGGAGAAACCGATTAGGTGCGAAGGTGGACGTGTTGTAGCAATGTTCGGTTTCACTTGTTACCTACTATGGTGAAATCTGGACATATTAGGCGGCTAATATATATATATATGTAATAATAACAACAACACACACACACATATATATATATATATGTAGTTGATTCTAAGCAAGGGCACCATGTTGTCAACTTCTTTTTCGGGCTACTGCTGCTACTACTAATACGACCTTTGAGCCCGAGGGTGGGAGTTGGTCATCACGAGCCTGTGGATCTATGAGGGACCCCAAAAGCGACTAGTAAAGCGGAAATAGAACAACGCCAATGGTTGGAGATCTGCCAATTCTGGTGCATATGATACATTCTTCACACACTTAGGATAGGGTGTACTGAACTGAAAGCAGTGCCACACGCCGGCCTAGGGTACCAATTCCTAAGGGTACAGGCAAGGAAACCTGAAAAGGAAGTGGAGGTCCATCAAGTTCAGCGTGGCCATCTAATCTAAAGGAGCCATCGAACGATCGACCGACAGAATGACGTCGTCCGCTCACATCTGCAAGTCAAAACCAAAGCCCTATGCGTGACTGCCGAGAGCAAACCGGTGCAAAGGCTGGATTTCTTGTTCTAGTTACAAGCAGGGCCCACGATGAAATTTCTCAAGTAAAACTGCAGGTACGTCACTGGACGTCTCCAGTGATATCAGTACTGCCACAGAAGCCTCTTCGTTGGACTGTCACTTCTGTGGGGTAGCACGCCTCCCCGAGGGAGGCAAATAGAATTAAGGCTAGGACGGTTGTGTAAATGTGCGCGCGGCAAAGACAAAAGGATGAAGACATGAGAAGGAGGACAAGACGGGACAAAAAGGTGTGTGGTTGCAATGAAAGAGAAACCAAGTGCACAGGGACAACCGATGAACCCCACCTCATTGTAAAGACCTGGGCGACCTGAAACCTGTTTAAAATGTATGTAGAAGTGCAAGTACACACTAAGGCCGGGACCAATGTGCGCGCAAACGAAGAAAAGGATGAGATGACCAGACATGAAGGCAGGAGGACATGAAAGAAAAGAGGAAACCAAAGGTGTGTAAAGGGGGAAAGGGATGAAAAGGGAACCAAATGGAGAGGACGAGAACCGATGAAGCCGAACCTCATTAGAAACACCTAGGAAGACCTCGCCTCGTTTGCATGTGTACGCGGTGTGTGCACCTAAGAATGGGACAGGTTCTACTGAACCTTGAGCAAGCTTTGGTCGCTGCGACCACGTACGGCCTGCCCAGAGGCTGCCACCTTTGACCGCTCCGGTCACGTAAAGGCATGAGCCAGCTTGGAATTCAATAGTTCAGCAAACCTTGGCAAATAACTTTGGCCTAAGCCTACTTTGTCCGCTGCGGACTACTCTGGTCCCGGGCGCAGGGACGAAGACAAACCCCCGTTCGACGGGTGTACGGGAGGCACTCTGCGGGCTCACCCCGGGCTGGCACGAGGCCAGACACACTTAGGATAGGGTGTACTGAACTGAAAGCAGTGCCACACGCCGGCCTAGGGTACCAATTCCTAAGGGTACAGGTAAGGAAGCCTGAAAAGAAAGTGGAGATCTAATCTAAAGGAGCCATCGAACGATCGACCGACAGAATGACGTC